CATTTAATGAGTTATAACATTTATTACAATTTTTTAAAATACATAATCTTATAAATACTTTCTAAAGTATATATAAGAGTCATTTAATACTTTTTGTATACTTGTGAAAGTGTTGAAAATTAATTTGAAACACAAATGACCTATAGAAGACCGGAAAATTATTATATATATTAAGAATTGACACATTGACAGAAATTGACATCTGGGTATCAATCATAAAACTTTTCTTTCTAAGATGAAAAGTGAAAAGTGAAAAATTTCCTCAATGGTAAAAATTTTCACTTTTCACTTTCCATTCTAGGGATAAAATTTCATAATTGATTTGAAAATATATTTGAAAATTGCAAACCGATATAATTAAACATCAACAAGATCTAATCTTGTGCCATAAAATAATCTCCGTTTATCCTTCTGACGACGGAAATACAACGACTGGCACTAGGTCAAGAATGACAGACCGGTGCAACATCGCCGAGTATAGACTTTGATGCCGTAGTCACGCGAAAGTGTTTTCTATAGCTGTCTCACGACCACGAGACTGACGAGACCACAATTGACATAATAAGACACACTTCTCGCGTCTATAAGCATCCAAGATCGAACTCGTCGAGATTATATGCAACAATAATCCCGGATTTCTCTGCTATTTTTCTCCACGTAATGTTCAAGGCATACGACTATCATTAACTACTATCAGTTTGATCAGCGTTCTTAAATGCAGGAGGTACCCATACTTTCAAGAGAAGAGGGGAAAGGCACGTAAGGAGCTGTACAAATCATTGCACAATTTCACGAAGCTTGTGCATCGCATGCGGCAACAGTAGTAGCAAGCAGACATGTATACACATATAGAAAGGCGGCCTTGGCGGGCCGGGTGTTCGACGACAATCAGTCGTTTGACGGCTCACCAGTTTGACGGCCTTCGTGAGTTCCTGTAGGATCCGACCCTTGGAGAGGACCTTGTCGGTGCAGAGATCCATATCTTCGCGGCCTGACGACGGCATCTCGTCGTCACGCGCACTTACATGATCCACGTCGCACCAACGTAAAAACGGCTGATACGTGCCGCGTAAAACGGTGTCGAAAGTACGACGGAACAAGCCGGGCCAAGCGGCGGCACCCACGACGCGGATGCTGATGTCGCACGGCTGACAAGTCGCGCTGCTGTCGTCGACGCGGACAGCTTCGTCGCGGAACGTGCTCATTGATTTTAGCGGAGCGCAAGTCACCCGCGATTTTCAAGCTGCGACTGACTTGGACTGACTGCTCGACAGGACGTTCCCGGCGTCTTTATGTCGACGTTTCTTCCTCTGCCTCCTCCACGAATGTCTCCAGCAGTTCAGTCTCTATCTTTTAAGATAAACAGTGGAAACATTCTTCCTCCTTTCATTCTTGCTCTTCTTGTTTTCTTTTCTATTTTCGAATAGCTTTAGCAAGAATTACCAAATCAAAGGAATATAAGCCCTGAAAAATTGAAGAGAATTATAATATAATATAATTCTTTTTATGCCATGTTTATAAGATTATTTGGACAATTTCTTATATTTTATTGATATGATACTTTTTGTTTACAAACGATTTTCTTTTATACTACGTTTAAATTCTCAATTCATATACACATTTAAATTTTATAATATTTTTATTGATAGTATCAAGTACTATTCTGATTAAGTAAATTCTGCATCGATTTGATTTGTTGATAAAGAATGGCAAATCAAATTCGTATGAATGTCACTTTGTAATTTATTTTTATTTATAAATTTTTATTTAAAAAATAAATAAATAATATGCTAAAAATGTGATATTATTACACACTTTTATGAAGGAACAACTACGTAATTACATATTAACATGCAATTAATCTGTATCGGTAACATTCGACTTTTAGTCGAACTTTTAGTTATTATTAATAATCATTTCGCGTGTTTTTTTTTTGCTAAAAAAACAGTTTCATCATTTAACACAATAATTAATCCGACGTCATCAAATGATTAACTTTAATAATTTCAGTTTTTATAGTTCTGCAATTTTTTAAAAAATTGTCATATCAAAATGACGAAAATTTGATTGTGCTGAAAACTCGAAAGAAAATTAACGCAGTTCTTTTTACATGTAAAAGATTATTTAGATCTCCAACTCTTTACGATTTACTTACATAATATTTTTGTTGATTATGTGGACCATTACTTTTTCAGCTTAAAGATGTTTGAGTTCTGAATTCATTATATATTTAACATTAATTTTTGTAATAGTTTATTGGTATTGTCGAATAACATATATGAATGTTGCAACGATATAATTTAAGAATTATAATAGCATTGTGACGAATCGACAACGAATGAATGTTACCCCGTATAATTAAAAAATAATAATAATAATAAAACTATGCTAAATAATATTTACACGTACTTTCTATGAGAGAAATAACTTTGTTGATTGACGCAATAATTATTCCGACAACCGTATCGTATCAAATGATTAATTACATTTATTCCATAATTCTACAACTTTAAAAAAATTGCCATATCAAAACGATGAAAGTTCGATTGTGCTAAAAATCCTCAACTTCGTATGTTTTATTTACATTACATATTTATTAACTATATATTACAGTATATGGACTATTCTTGTGAATTCAAAGGTGCGCTTAACTTCTTTAAGTTTTGAATTCAAATAATTAACATTCATTTATTTTTACAATATTTCGTTAGTATTATCAAATGCAATATTATTTAATTTAAGGATTAATAGCATCTAATGAATCAACAATGAATAAATGTTAATCTGTAGTTCGTGTAGTTTATAAAGAAAATTAAAAAACAAATGCTAGATGAATAATATTTACATGTATCTTTTGTGAAACAAACAATTTTGTTGATTAACGCGATAATTAATCCTCGGTCACATTTAAATTTCTTAATCGCTTGTGTTGTTTATTGACAGTTAATTTATAATGTTTGTTAAGACTTATCTTCATTCTATAGGCGAAGCTATTCAAAAATAAAAGATGATGGTTTTTTAATTATATCCATATCAATATTGCTGTCGACGAGAGAGAATCCTGCAATCCACAGAATTTCGATTAAATTCCGCGAGTTTAATTTTAAATACGTCACTTTAACTCAAATGGCAAGGCTAGCTAGATGCTTATAGACTCTATAAAAACTGCAGTAAATACAATAAGGGAGATCAACGAAAAATTTCTTTGCTCGCAAAAGAGAGGAATAATTGCAAAAATACAGTAAATTTTCCTTTGAAAAAGATCGCACGACAAAAAAGAAGTTGGAACAGAAAAAGGATGTATTTGTTTTCGTTTCATATCTCAAATTATTAAATATTGTACTTGCGGCGATCCCATCGACAGACGTTAAAAGTGAAAATTTAGATCGTTCGTTTAATTTCTGCGCTACAGATAGCGCCACGTTTCGCATAAAACGCTGAAGGTTGACTTGTTTGATCTTTTTATCAATAAATAAATAAAAACACTGGAAATAAAATGGTTATATAGAAAATTTGAAGAGAAAAGATCTATATTTTACATTATTTTTTTGTATCTCACTTTTTTTGTTTACTATATTTTATGATAATTTAAGAGAATAATTGTAAACAAAAGAGAATTCGACGGGATTGATAGGCTGAAAGAGAATAGCGATTTATTATAAAATTAATCTCGGTAATTTATCAAAATGTGGGAGAAGCACGATTTACTGTACCGCATTTTCTCGATTTAAATATTCGGGAGGTACACGATGAAAAATGTACATTGATTCATTCGCTGGCGTGATTTATTCATCGCTATCCGGTACACTGTCCCAGCTGGTTAAAGTACGAGTTTTCATCGAGTATCAAGTTGCAATTTCAATTTCAATTCAATTTCGATCAGCGTTCGACATTCCTTTTACCACAGAATATTATTTCTTCTTCTTTTATCCCCAACGAAAATTTATATCTAGAAGTTTTATTACAGAGACTGATGTAAGAATTGTAAGCACAATTATAGACGTAATAAGTATGGACTAAACATTCCTTATGAAGTAATTACTTATGTAAAAAAAAATCAAGTGACTATTTCCGAATTAATGTTGACATAACATTGGGTTATAACGTTGGTTATAACGTTGACTGCTGAAGATGAGTTAATTTGTAGATTTATTGATAGATACTATAGGTAAAAAATATCGGTGCAAATTAATTAATATCATTTGGTATTTATATATTACTCTGTTAATGTTAATATTAATACCAACATGATGAATTCATACCATCACAGTATGGATTTAACACCATGGATTTTAAATCCATGATGATATAAATACCACAGGTTCTAAATCTATACCATGTTAGTGGATATCAACACAATGAGAGTTATATATATATATATATATATATACACATATAGGATGAATCAGAGTCGTTGAATCAGCTTTTTACGCTATAAGAAAATAATTGCGTTACACATGTCATAATTCGCTACACACAATAACGCTACATACGTTATAATTCAATTATATATGATATAATTATATAATATTATATAATATTCAATTATATATGAAGTCGATAATTTTCTCATAAGGTAAAAAGTTGGTTTAACGACTCTAATTCACTCTGTATATGTATTGGACACTGCGTGATATTAAATCCACACCAATACTTTTTAAAATGTTCGTCAGTTCGGTTTTTTTACAAGAGATATAAAAATTTTATTGTAAGTTTCGAAGAACTAAAATAATATGCTATAAACAGAAACAAAATATCAATTGTATAATAGCAGTTATCGTATTAAAGTCAAGAGATGTATTTTTCTTATTTTTCTTGAGAATAATTAGATAACATTCGCAATACTAATAGTGTCGGTATATTAATACTAAATTCAAATAAATATACTTATATATACATATATATGTATATATTTGCCAGTATTTAGAATATATAGTATTACTAAAATCGTGAACAGTTTATATAAACAGACAACAACAGGGTGATTTATAAAATGACGATTACAAATTTAATTTGTGATGATTCTCCGAGGAACCTGCCTGATCCAATCCGTTCTTATTCTCGCGAGGGCTGCTTGAATTCAAATGCGGGTATTTATCCGAAGTGCATTTGGGCTTTGTCTTTGATTTGCTTTTAGAGTTTTGTACGCGCCGCACAATCTCCTTGATGCATTTTTGATCCCTCTCGCTAATATTGAAACTTACACCACTGCTTGTGTATTCTTCGAGCTCTCTGAAATAGTAACAAGTTCCCTAAAGTTGCACAATACATTATTACATGGAATATATTTATTTAATTGTAGTCAGTAAAAAATTGTGACTCGTAGAAATCGTAAAAAGAAAATTTTAATTAATCCTTAAATTAAAATTAAACTTTAAAATTGAATTCGACTTTCAAATAGAAGTTAAGCTTTATAAAAAATAAAAGAGTTCAAGCTCTTGTATTTTTTATTTCAAGTCCTTCTATTGATTTCAAATTCTTCTATTTTTTATGAAGTTTGATTGCTACTTGACAAACTCGACTTGAGAATTTAATGCTTCTAAAGACTAATTAAAAATTTCTTTTTATGAAATAAAAAATTAGAGGAACCAATCATATTAAAGAATCACTAACTGATTAGTTTTTTCTGCTGAACGCAGTCAATATAGATTAACTTATTAATCTCGGTGCATCTTATTCTCCATCTTTTTCTAATTCTTAAAACTAGAAGAGATGAAAAGTCAGTTGAACCGAGATTAAATCTAAATTACATCAATAGAAATTAGTAAGTATTAAGGCCGTTTCCAGAATCTCTCAAATATTTAAAGTATACTATATGGGCCTCTTATCCTGTTTGTTTTTTGTCAAGATAAATGTTGACAAAAGAGACAAAGAAACGTGATTGTTAATAAAAAAAAACAGTCGCGAAGAAAAAAGTAAAAAGCAAATAACATAGGAAGTAAAAACACATTGTAGATTAGCCTTAAAACGCATGAAAAGCGTGCGCGGTTACGTTCAACGCGACTGCGGCAACTTCACGATAGTCGATTGTAAGTGGAATCGCATCGCGATCATTTCGTCGATCGAAAGAAACGATTTACCGAGTATTCCACGTTATTGGCATCATTCGACGAACGTCATGAATGGTCGTGAATGCTCCTGGATGCCGAGGATGCGAGGAGTATGGAGTGTGCAACCGACGGATCGTTATTACGAATTAATCGAGGCAAGTAGTTTTTGCTCATTCGCGATGATTATCGCACCGACACGTCCGCCATATTTGCAAGCGTTTTGCATTTCGAATCCTTCGCGATGAATCTTTTACGAGCGCGGTTGTTGGAATTTTCATTCCTTGTAATCTCGACCGAAAACCAGTAAAAGATATCTTTTACTTCAACGCTAGCACGTGCGCCAGTATCGCATTTTCCGACAACTGCAATTTTTAAAGGAAGAAAGACAGATAGTTGATCTATTATGAATAAAATAGATGAGAACCGTTTTTACCTCTGACGTAGATGCAGCTTCGCAATTAATTTGTTCAGGTATAACATTTCTTTCTGCATTATTTTCAGCTCAGATTCTTTTTTCTAAAAATGAAAAGCCGCCGATACAAAATAAATCTTTATTTCTGGATTAATTAAAATAATTCTCTAAGATATATGAATTTTTAATTAATTCCTATCGTGACATATGTTGCCATAATGAATATGAAAAAGTGTAGCGTAATTTTTAATTATCGCGTTTTAATTAAGCTTTTCCTAAGAGACAATAATATATGAATAAAAATAATGTATATTATAATACATGGAAAGAAAAATTTTGCTGAGTATCTAAAAATTTAAGTATATATGTACATACAGATTTTAAAATAATTTAATTGTTAGATCATCCAAATAGTTATATAGAAAATGCAAGCATGATGAGTAAGGCTGCAAAAACCATTTTGCCATTCTAGCAATCAGCTTGAGTATCTTATACAGGGTCTTAAATCTGACAATAAATATTTTAAAGACAAATTCTTTATAATATTTTAAGAAAAGTTTTATACGAAAATCTGTGGCTATGATAATTTTCAAATGAAAAGAATTTAAAATTTTCAAATGATAGAGCTAGAATTTTGCGCATTCAAAGATAACAAGATGATCAATGTGATGATGCTGAATGTTTTTACAGAGTTTATTATCAAAGGTTATAAAAATTCTTCCCATTTGAAAATTATTTTATCCTTGACATTTTCATATTAGACTTTTTGTTTTAAAATGTTACAAAGAATCCATCTGTAAAATATTCATTGTCAGTGTTGGAACGCTCTGTATAATTATTCTGATAGTACAACAAAATTTATTTTCAAATTTGTGTCTGTTCAACAAAACTGTTCTTTTCATTAGTAGCATTTATTAACAGCAATTAAATTGAAAATAATCTTGTTAATTCAGTAACAGTTTAATAGAACAAATAACATTATATTAAAAAAAGAATATATATATTAGTACATTAAAGTTTTTTTTAAATCTTTAGAAGAAATCCACTTTTAAAATCTTTTTAAAACAGTTTTTCCTTAAGATTTCATTGTATTTGCCTCAAAAAATGATATGATTTCAATGCTACTATAGTGGCTTTTTTATCTTCTAAAAATAATACTGATATTGAAATAATAAGATTATTTTTAATGAAATTGTTGTTATCTAATACAACATTATCTTTTTCATGTAAAATGAAATAAACATATTTTTAACACATTGTCACTATACAATTAAATAATTTTGTTCATTTTTCAACATGATATTTTAACTAAGAATGTTACTTGATTAAATTTGTTTTCATCGAAACAATAAAATGTTTATTTTTTCCTCCAAAAAGTTAAATTGACGAATAATAACTAACATTCATTTAAATTGTCAATTATTTAAGTTAATTGATATTCAGCAATCAACATGTTAATAACTGCTAATAGTAGCAAATCAATGTTAAATAATTAAATTCCATATCGCGTGCCATGCGTATGAATGAGATGATGCAACATGTGTTAAGGCCAAGAATTACATCAAAACATTTACATAAGCAAATCTTTCTCGAAAGTTTGTCCGATATCACGGCACGCCGCACGTCAATCTAACATTCTAATTTCTGTTTCCTCGATATATGCTATCGAGCAGTCGATTATCGATATTACCGTCAAAGTATCCATAGCTACGTGAAGTTCGTCCTGGCGAGTTTCGCAAAGGTGACGCGCGGTGATCACCTCCGCGGTCAGTCGTGCTAATTGCTGCCGGCAATTCTGCTCGCGCTCCACCGCTTTATCCCAGGCTTCTTCTCGGGCGATAACGGCGTCTCTCAAAGTCCTCATATCCTTTTCTAGTAACTCAAACTCTGATCTAATCGAGAAGTTGCGAATTATGAACACAAATTGAGAATAGATCCTCGAAAGGGAAGGCACAGTGACAAAGTGAGATTAAACGAGCGTTATTCAAAATATTCAATCGACTTATCAATTTTCATTGATGTTCGATAAAAGAAGAAACGTTCATGATCAAAAGATTTTTACGTTCTCCGTTTTTATCCAGTAAGCTTCTTAATCGACGGAAATTTTTAAATAAAATTATTTGAAGTAAATTGTACGAAATGTATTGTAAAAGTAATTTAGGCCCATATTGTTGTCTTGTTTATTAACGACTCTATTTTATATAGCTCTGTACAAAGATGTTTTGTAATAATATGAGATAGAATATGAGAATGATGAATTCACCGTTCAATCTCTGGAGAACTTACTTCGTGATTGTGATCTGCGATTCTCTTTGGCATCCCTCCAATTCTCTATGGCAATCTTTGCAGGTTTCCCAAATTTGTAATCCGCAATTTGTCTTGGAAACTATATTCGTCGAGGAGGTGCATTTATTTTTTAAGCATATCTCATCACGTTTCTGAAATTTACATAGAAAAGTAAATTTTCATTAAAGAAATGCGTAATTTTCTTTTATTTTATGAACGTGAAATTGCAGTGATAAGAATTTTAGAATTTTATATTTCTGAAAATACTGATATTTATGATTATCATCTTTTTTCTACATTATTAATTTTAATTTTAAGTTTCAGCTTTAATATAAAAATTTTTTATATAAAAATTTAATTATATACATATATGATAAAGTTTGAGATTATAATAATCGAGAAAATAAGAGAAAGTTTATGACAATAAATAATGTGATAACATACCATTAGAAAGAATCAATATAATTTAGGTAAAGGTTTAAATATATACTTTATTTTCCTCCGTTGTTATTCTAATAACACAGATATCTCATTTTTATGTTGGTTATTATTCATTATGCAGTATAAATATTGCAGCATAGCATCTTTACATATACATATCATTTAATTATATTCTAGAAACATTTATTTTTTATTCAATAAATATTGTTTCTACCGCTTGTTTCGCTAATATATCAGCCAGCTTGAGTTTTTCAAGTTCGTTTTGTAATAGTGATACATTCTTTAACAGCTTCTCTATTTTAGTCGCATCTTCTTCCAGCCTGCATATTGTTTATCTTGAGGGAACTTGTTCGAAATGTACTTATCAAAACGTGAATGTAATTGCATCACGCAGGATAATTTATTTAGCGAAAACGTAATTATGTAATTACGATGGTAGTCTCACCGTTTCGCCAAGTTCATGTTTTCCTCGACGAGATCGCAGTTTCTGAGATATAGCGTTGCGTTACTGTCTTCTAAGAGTTTTAGACGAATTTTCATTCTTTCGATCGAAATCACCGGTGATTCATAATGCTTCGTCGATTGGTACGTATGTGCATTCGCGATTCTCTCCATATGTATGTTCGAATGTGGAAATGGCGGATCGCCTATGATGCGGGGGATTTCAAACTAAATTAATATTCATTTGCTTCTGTGACTGATACGCTCCGAGTTGCATTATTCGGAGAGACAGTGGGTTGATTGTATTATATAAGTTGTAAAAATTAATAAATCGGTTAATTATAAGTCAAGAAATAAGTAAGTAAATTCTATGATCGAACTTTACTCTTTTATTAATTTTTATTTTATTTAAATAAACATTTACTCAATATTCTATAATCTTTTAAATATAATTAATCTAAACAATATAATTAGAAAATGAGGTAGCAAATATTAATATTGCAATCAAATTTAATCGGATATTATTAATATTCATAAATTAATAATAAAGCAATTATTAATAAAGTTAGAATCGTTGATCATTAAAATAATTATTGTAAACGTTTATGTCTGGAATTTTATATTTTTTAAATAATTTTATAGATAGTTTTTTTAACGTTTTTTACCTTTTTTATATATCTCATTGTTATTTCTGTTTAAATTGAATGATTTCCCGTTTTCATGACTTTCTGAAAGGTAAATAAAATTTACAACGCTGATTAATATAAAATAAATTATCAATGTAAATAAAAAAATATTGAGTCAGAATATTGAATCAGAATATTCTTATATCAGAATATTCATCTTTTATGTAAAGAGAAAAGAAAATACAATAGCAAAATCCACATATTTCAACATATGTTTAACTTTTTTGTATTCTTAATTTTTCATATTATTTGTAAATCACAGAAGCAGTCTTATTTTTACTTATTTTTTTATATCTCTCTAATTTATGTATATAACCTTTGTGTTCTAGAACTATATGATAAAATTCATATTTGTAGCAATTTTAATGATATTTGGATATTAAAAGCACAATTAAAACTGCTACAAATATGAATTTTATAGAGACATTCTATTAAGGACATCTTTTTGATTTTTTAAAGAAATTTTGTTCTAGAATTTCTCTGAAAAAAAATGTAAATTTTGCTTCTATATTTATTATGCATACTACATCTCAACGCAATTAGATTTTCCTTGAAATATAAAAAACTACGCACTATTGCTGCAGACTGTGGAATGAAGATTCTTGATGCCAGACGTATAGCAGGTTGTTCTATGGCAGCTGTGAGGATATTTAAAGTCCAAGTACGTTTGATCTAGCTGCGGGTCTATTATTCGATAACGAATGCTATTATGCGATAACGACATCGCGTTTTTGCATTCACGTCAATTAGAACGACAAAAATCTCCTTGTTACGATCTTTCTCTTTTTATTGTGATTTTTCCACACTGATTTTCTGATCTATTCGCTATTCTGTAAAAAAATTTTATTTAGTATTTTGACTAACGCATTATCATTTTTTGTGAGAATGCATTTCTTATTTTGATTAGTTTTTGAAACGGCATAAAACAAAAATACAAAAGTCACGTCGTATTCGAATTACATGACTTCTTCGTGTTCAGACGTTTCGAATTTATTCCACCCTTTCCAACTAAGAATAAAGCAACTTTCGCACTTTTGTCCCTGACGTTCACCAAAATGCTGACACCTCTTCTCGTCCCTTTTCTTCACGAGCAGTAAATAACGATTACTGCGAATACGCTGGTCATGGGATCGGCAGGTCCCCCACAGATCTAAACGACCGAAAACCCTTTCCCTCGAGTCTTCACATATTCCCGCTAAAGAGAATGGGAATGAAAAGAACACGTTACGTAAGCCGCATTCGCTGCATATTCCAGCGTAAAATTTCGTTGAATCTCTCAAGTGGCCATTGGTTACTGATTCTTTGTTTCCTTTGTTTTTAAATATCTTTTGCGGCAGAATTCGTGACTATTAATAGGCAAACTTGGTATAAAAGTTATAAAAAAACCTGTTAAGTATTATTATTTTGAGAGAATGATATCTTTTGTATAAAATATCTCATAGATATTGTGTGCCTTAAACTCGTAAGCTTGTATCAGACTAGAGATTGAGATTAAGATGGGATTGGAATTTAATCGATCAGAAGAAAGAAAACCAATATCAGCTTTAGCGAACTTTTGCTTTGATTGGTCAAATTCTAATATAATTTTCAATTTCAATCTCTAATCTTACACGGACTTTAAACAATTTAGAAATACTTAATTTTAGCTAAGAATCACATGCTAAATGAAGTATAATGAAGAAGTTAAATTCGATGTTTTTGTCGGATATGAAGTGCACGTAGATAATATTACCAAAATGAAGCGATGCAGATATTTTCGTGTAAAATGAGGAGTGTGAAACGATTATTTTGGCTGCGTTTGACTTATCATGGCGCCGTTGGTCTTTACAGCTACGATTATGCGGGCCGTAAAAACGGAGGCAACGAGAAATTTTATTTCAACCAGCAATAGACGTCGCGTTTTATCCACGCAATTTGACGTAATATCTATGTATTAAAGACGTTTACGCGTTCACGCAAAATGCATATTATGTGATATAAAAAAAATTTAAACAAACGATTTATATGGATATATTGAAAAACTTTATAACACTTGTTTGTATTTTGCTTTAAATATAAATTTAATATTGATATAAATTATAATATTGATATAAATCAATATGTTAATATAAATTAATGTATTAACATAAATTCAAATATAATTATACATTTTTTTGTTTGCTTTTTCGTGATATACTCGTGATATGTAAAATGTAACGATTCAATAAAACACGCATAAACACATTAACGTATAAACAATAAAACACATAAAACGATTTATTGGTGTGTAATTGTGAAAACAATGAGAGATTTAATTTTATTTATCTTGAATTTCTATAAAATATCAAATTTAGTTAATTAAAGTTATATAATGTTCTTTATTATATTGTATGAATTATATCATTATTACAATAGAAAACATACAATATTATTTGTTAGTAAAGGTTTTATTAGAACATTTTTAAAGATAGGAAGAAATAAAGCATTTAATAAAAGAGTAAAGTGTTATAGAAAGATTAAATTAAATAATTTATAGCTTTATTCACTTTTATCTACAAACAGTACCCATTATCGATGTGTATACGAACAATGTTACATAGCGTGATAATTTACATTTTACATCATAATAATTTATGTCTTCCTCTACAATATTATGTGATTAATAATAATATAATTTTGAATACATACCCGTCTATACATTGCGTTTAAAAGATATATTACATATACATTGTTGTACTCATTGTACGTATAATTCGCGCATTGGCATGAAAATCTTACAATTAGTTAGTAGCAATACGACAAATTGTCAAGGTTTAGCGAAGATATAAACAAGAGTTTTTGAAATTCTATTTTAAATACGATTGACAAATTAAATACATATATAGTTGATGCAGTTGCGCATAAATAAATCAAATGAAATTTTGCCATTCATTAAATAATAAGTCTTGCATTTACATCAAATTATCGATACTAATGAAATGAACTAATGAAAAGACACAAGAAATTCCTATATAAAAGTCAGTCTTAATAAAGAATAAAGTAATACATTGCCTACAACTATAAGTAGATAACAAAATTTCTTTATCTCTGATATTATAAAATAATCTAAGTTATTGAACGAGTGAAAAAATCGCGACGAGTATAAATCTACAGTCGTCACGTAATTAGGCACTGCAACAAAGTTTGCATAATCATTCCCTCTAATCTAATTGGAAGTGGTTATATAACAAGGACAGCCATATAATTTCTTGTTTTTTATATTTTCGTTTTCGCGCAAGTTTGATTAAAATTTTCGAAATGTATTCTATATAGACAATATTAAGACACACCGACAATCGAATAATTATATTAAACTCGTACACGCGCGATTGTTATATCCATAATAGCGGGAACGTAATAGGGACAAAGTAACCGGATATGCTGCTGTATTCTTTTACATATATCTAAGCATCTTTATCATAAATATTTTATTTATTCTACCAGTTACTAGCGTATAAATATATTCAATTGGTTCAATTTACCGGAACAACGCGTCGTCGATCACTGCGTAAATCATAACGCGGAGAGATCATGCAGAGGACATTGTGACGCTTTAAACAGTCATAGCGCTTTCGTGAGAAGAATATATTACACATTAATATATCATACCCCATTGTGCATTATTACATTACGAAGATATATATACACGCGGTGGTTTCGTTCAGTTTTTTTATATATTATACACACATAAATGCATATGTACACGTATACTTTGAGCGTATTATTTTCCACATAGGCTGTTCGATGGCTGGTTAGATACCTCTTATTCTAGTGCCTTGAAACGTAAAAGAATATTTATTTTTTTCCTTTGGAGCTGACTAAAAATCTGTAACATTATGTTAATTAAATTATTTATGTTAATTAAAAGGCTAATTAATTGTAAGTAACTAAAAGGATATAACTAGTACAAAAAAGAATAAATATTGATTGTAAATATATTTAATAAGAATAATCCGATGTAACATAAAAAAATTGAATTATTTGATCTTTTGACAGAGATTTATAATTAAGTGAGTCTAATAGATCCATCGGCAACTTCAAAGAGTTAAGAGAATATAAAAAATAAATATATAGAAAATTAATTGATTAAAATATTGCACACAATGAACTGCATCACAGAGAATTGCTTAAAAAGAGGGTTAGGCTACAAATTTTTGAGGGTTTCCCAATCACTCGGGGATTGTTTTATATTTTCTTATGTATTTTTCTTCGTAAAAACCGAAAATAATCGTTATAATAACACCAGACTTGAGCACGAGCGGCGTAATAGATAGCATACGAGACTGCTATGTGACTGCTATAGATTCGATCCCAGGCAGACTCAAGAATTTTTACGCGCTCGTAACTCTTCTTCGGTGGTCCGGAAAATTATCAAGAGTATCTATTGCCAAGAAAGTCTCTCAAAAACTGCTGTTCGGAACCGACGTTAAAATTGTAGTCCCGTATGTGTCTGTGTACAATCTGCGTGAGTACCACAGGCATACGTACGAGACAACGGCGAAAGACATTATAAACCGATATATATATATATATATATGTAGAGAGAGAGAGAGAGAGAAAGAGAGAGAGAGAGAGAGAGAGAGAGAGAGAGGAAAATCCCCTATTATGAGACAGGCGCCTAATATGAGATAGCAACGTTTCTGCTAAACGCTATCTATTGGTTCCACCATGAATTTATTGCTCTTGGATTGAAAATATATTTAGTAGAAAATTCTTTATTAGATCATGCCTGTAGTCATTATAAAATAAGATTTTTAGAATTTGGATGTCTTCAAGTTTCATTGAGATGAAGAACATTTAAATCTTTATTATTTAATAAATAATTGTCAATAAATTCTTCATGTAGTGATAAAGTAAGGTCGTACTAATAGAAAAATACGGGATATGTTGAATTATTTAATTACAGAAGTAAGACTTGATGATCATAAAACTATAAAACATGGAAATCATAATATGAGATATTCAGAGTATTTCTAATATGAAATAACCCATGCTCCTATGTTATAGTGAAAATTACTAAAATATAAATGTTATTATACAATAATAAAAAAGATAACTGGAATGAACATCGAGTGCCTATATCTGCGGTACTTGATTCCAATTACCTGAAAACGAGGGTACAATCTATCTGGATATAATCTATCGCATACTCATTTTTCGCGCACGCTGGCTGTGTTTGTTTGTATTTTAGAAACATTAAATAAAGCTTTTTTTAATTGCAATATACTGATATACTTTGCGTTTTACTATCAATTTCTCAGAGCATCTCGTATTAGGAGCACAATTTTTTGACTTTGTGATTTGCTCACTTTTTACATTTCTTTAATTTTCAAAAAAAAAATGGAATTTGAATTAAATTTTATGTAAATCGTTATCTTAAAGTATTAAATTCTCTTCAAAATTACCTATTATTTTTTAAAATTCTGCCTATAGACTTCTAACATTTACCCAAAATGAACTTGGTATCTCGTAACAGGGGCCTTTCCTCTAAATAACGCCAGATTTAAGGAAAAATTGATATATTTTTTAAGGATTTTTTAAGGATTTTATTCATATTTCAACATCGTTGTGAAATCATTGTCAGTTATGCCTCGATGATTTAGAATAAATTAATTCCAAATTGGATCAAATGCGAGTAATATTGCACCACAAAACGTAATTAGATTATATTATACCATTTGTTTCGATACCGTTTCCCCTACTTGCGCGTAAGTTGTACGCGTTATAAAGTGGAGAGCACAGACTCTTGCATAACGCATAAAATACGAGGCATAAGAAAACCAATCAGAGTTCTTTATTTCATGGAAATGAAAGACTTGGTTCATTTTTTTATGCATTCTGTGCTCCCCGTCTTAGGGCTCGAATAGACGAGTAACTTTGTGCCGCGAAAAATAAGCGACATATTCATAGACTTTATGCTTGTGTGTGAATAGATTGACGTTTGTGTATTGCGCCACAAAGTTGTTCGTCTGTCCCAGCCCTAGTCGTTTGGTAGCTTTTGAATATCTCGGCTATCTGTTTTTAACTACTTTTTATCTTATTTCGTAAGATTATTAATTTTTTGTAACAAATGTCCTAATAAGAAATATAATCTAATTAACGTTTTGTGGTGCAATATTACTCGCATTTGATTCAATTTGGAATTATTTCTAAATCATTGAGGCATAATTGACAGTGATTTCATAATGATGCGAATAAGTTTTTATAAATTTTATTCATTTTATTAATTTTATTTTAATGTACCAATTTTTTCTTAAATCTGGCGTTATTACAATAATTATTTTCGGTTTCTACAAAGAAAAATACACAAGAAAACATACAAATTAAACAATCCTCAAACGGTCTCAAAAATTTGTACCCTTTTGTTTTCCTCGTAAAATGTGTTATCTTTTCCATATATTATTAGGTGTTGGAATTAATTCGTAGCGTTTTACAAGTGATGGGAAGTACTTTCATTAATGTATTTTTTAATGCTCATGTGAAATAAATAACATTCTTTCATTAAAAAACGCTACGAATTAATTCCAACACCTAATATATGTAGAATGCCTCAGAATTCAATATCTTAAGATCAACTGATTTTAATAACAGATTCAAGTCTTAAAATATATAAGAAAGAAATTATTACACATTCTCGGCAAGCAAATGAAATGTATGTCAAAAACAGATGTCGAGAATAAAAGGTATCTTTAACAATCGATCGAGCCCGAAAAATAAATTTATCTAATCTGATTAATAAATCACAAATAGCACAAATAGCAGGAAACATATACATTATTATCACACTTTAAATGTTCCCTCTTAATACTGATATCAATGTTTATGACACTATTGACACGCATACACAGTTATTTTAGACTATCTTATAAATATTTTTGACTTAAGCAGTTTTCTAAGTCTAATTTCTGTGAAAAGAAGAGTTATAGAAGAAGCCAGTTATAAATGATGATGTTCATTTTAACATTTTTTTATTATAATCAAGAAAATAAGTTCTGAGAAATGATAAGTTCTAAGAATTACAGTTAGATCCATGCTAATACGATTATTTTTTGCAAGACTGCAATACAATCTATTTTACTGTAAAAGAATAGTTTTAAGTAAATAATTTATACATATCTGAAATAAGAACTATTTCATTAAACATCTGAATTATATTACTTTACATACCGATAAGTTCTAACTTGAACTATTTATATTTATTTATTTCATTTATTTTAGAAATGCGTATAACTATATGATTTTGGTCTTTTTCTCGAAATCTATTTTTGTTTCTGAAAAAGGCTTTTTGAATTTACATATTTTTTTAAATTAAGGTTTCCATATATCTGATTGAAAAAAATAAACAAATAATATATAATAGTATAATATATTAATATTTATATATATTATATATAAATGTTAAGATATTTATTTAAATTATGAACGAAATATAATAGATAACTTACACAGTTTTCTCGATCGTAATGCTTAATGTACATTGTTGATATTATTTAGCACATTTTCGAATAAAGAAAAAACATTTAAGTAATTTTTAAGCTTAGAAAATATAATTGCACAATGAATTCATGATAGTTAATAGAATAGTTAGCATTGCGCGTTTTAATCTATATATTAAGAAAAAAAAGAGCCTAGCTTTATCAGTCCTTTATCATTGGACGGTGCGAAGAAGTTATAGGAGATCCATCGCAGGTAATATTATGAAAAAGTTGTTATTTTTGTTGTTTCACTTGCCTTTACATAATTTTAATTTGCAAGATTCGACTTCCTTTTGTCTCCCATCTTTTATTCCTTTTTTTATTCTCTCTCTATACTTATTACGCAATAAAATATGACTCTATAATATATAAAGTATTTCAGAATAATAACTTTTCTTTAAAATTTAAACTACAGTTAATTTGTAATTTATATAAACTTGATTCTTTGTTTGAAGAAATTTTATTAAAATTAATGTAAAAATGTTTAACGAATTTTGGCTTAAAATTAAAATTTCTTGTACGTTACTTAAAAACTTCGTAAAGTGTAGGATTTTAAGAAATCAATATTGAATATTAGAAATATTTGTATAACTATTTCCTAAATTGAAATTATTTATTAATACATACATAATAATAACATAATAAAACTTTGTCATTTATTTATAACTTTCAAGTTTAATTTGTAAGAAATTGAACTACATTGAATTTTTAATCAATTATAATTTGAAATAAATAATGACTTAGTCATAAATGCGAATGATGTTTTTTAAACCTATTTCTTTAATACTTTTCTTATAACTTTCGATAATAATAATAGTTTTGAAATACTCATATACATATATGTCCAGACATATGTCTTATATATATATATATATATTCTCTTAGAATTATCAACGTTAAATTTGCTAAATACATACGTTTGCTACTTCAGTTTTCTTTCAGTTTTACTTCATTTTTAATAAATTTCAACAAAATTGTATAATTACTGACTGTTTCTAATCAAATTGAAAGGCTCTACAGTATAATTATAACATAAACATTCTTATTTTCGCTTATAGTTTATACAATAGATAAAATAAAACTGTCATGTTACGTAAAATTTTGTAGTATGACATCATCCATTTATATAAATAATCAATATACTTTGCTTCATATAGAAATATATACATTATTATGTGTGATTATCGAGTTAAGGAGACGTCAATTCAAGACTGTCAATTGGATTATCAATTAATCTTATTTCTAAATTAAAATAATTGTTATGTCATCAAGTTGATAGTCGCGCATTATTAGAAGTATCTTATACATTTTTGCCTAGATTTCTGTAATCCGTGAAAATTGATCTTTGCGGAAAAGATATAAAAAAACAATACGTTAAAGCACATATCATAAAAGCAAAAACTTTTCAATAGTAAGAAAGTTCTTGCAATCGCGTGTTATTTGGTTCTTTTTTTTTTGGAAATGTAAAAAAATTTGGAATATTTGGCTTGCATAATTTTTCCAAATTGCATATATTTGGTCATTACTTTTCAATAAAGTTTTCCGAAATAAAAATCATTCATTTTTTTGAATTATTAATAAGAAACTTGCGTTTTTTTAAGTAATAATTGATTCAATTATTAGCAAGTTACTATAAGCGAGTTAGTTACACTAAGTCTGTTCCGAATATCGACCTAGGATATCAATCTACGAAGAAACGTGTAGACTTGAATTTTAAAAAATCACGATTTTTAAACTAGGGAGACCATAACACGTTTTCGCGACGTAGAATGCAACATAGTAAAGTGTCCGCTTCTGCGAGAGGAATGGGCCGTCAAGGATGTCGTCACAGTCGTCCTCGTACTGCTGGTTGTCGCCCCAGTACCGAAGCAGTGTTGCGAATTTGCCGGGCACCAACCCGAAATCCAGGAGATTGCCTGCATGTTCCTACCGAGCAACAATTGCTGTTTAACGGAAAAGGCAAAAAATTGCTAGGGAAATGTTGCCATCTTCTCGGACGTTGTTTTGAATTTGTGAAACTTGAGGCATTAGAAAGTTTAAAACATATTCTACTTTCTATTCTGATTGTTTTTAAAAAATTTTGTTATTAGACCTTTATAAAATCCAATTTGATATTGGTTAATTGAATTATAAAATAATCATTAATTATGTAATGATTTATTACTTATTTTGAGTATTAAAAGCATTGCTATTCAATGCTTTTAGAAATTTAAGTTTACGTCTCACGTAAATATAAAAAAGCGCTTTTAAATAAATCGCGCTTTTAACAAGTTTTTAATAAATCCGTTTTTAAATGCAGCTAGATTAACTATTGCACTATATGTATACGAAATAATCATCAATTACATTTAATTAACATACTCACCGTACGGTTTTGCAGAAAGGAGTACTAAAAAGGCAGTAGATGATTGGATTAGCGGCCGAATTGAGCGGTGTCAAACTTTGTATAAAGGTAGCGACTGCAATATTTGTTTGAGTCTTTCGTATGTGTCCATAAACTTGAAGAAGGTCGAAGACTATGTATGGACTCCAACAAAGGATAAATACTGAAACAGAATTATTTTCGCTCATATTGCGTGAGTCTGGCAATTTATATTTTACGCGCATAGCTAATTAATCGAAAAATTTGTAGAGAAATATTAGGACAAATATGTATAATATTCATCATCACAAATCTGAAAAATTAAAATATTAAAGAAAAAATCATTTTATCTTGAAACTAATAATTAAAACAATAATTTCATAATATATATGTATATTAAGAATAAATTGTCGATTCAATAAATTAATTGACCTGGCAGAATGCAGCAATAATTGTAACGTCACTTTTAATGTATGTGCTACAAATAAAACACGATTGTTTGCACCGCTTTTAATTGCGAGTTATTATTTTTATCATAAATAGAGAATATTACGAAAACTGGATAAAATGATTGCTTTAAGTTTCTGTCAGTTTTATTTTAGATAACAAACCTAACAAACTCAGAATAATATAAACGCTCCATTTATATTTTTGCAAATACTTTGATTTGATTTATAGATGTGATATATAGGCTTCTATTTTAGAGATACCATTTATGGTTTTTCATATTTTCTGTTCAAGAAAAAAGCTTATATTTAATTAAAACAATAAAATCTCAAAAATATTGAAAACAAAAAAGAAGGCAATACAATGAGATGTATTTCAGTATAGATTAATGCAACGAAACATAAAATACGGAATGAATTTTTTACCTGTAATATATATTTATCAATACATTCAAACAAGTGGAACAAATATGATTATGTAAAAAAATTAATTATTTGTGTATTGTAAATAGATATATCACAAAATTAGTTAATTTTATTTTGATTTTGAAAAAAATTATTATAAATACTTAAGGAAAAATTTAAATATAATTTAAACCAACGTTATTTATCAATTATAGAATTTATTATAAAAAGATGTTAGCTTTAAACTGTAGTATAATTGACATTTATAAATTATTAGGCTATTTCTACAATGTGCTTTTTATTTTCTGTTTCTTGCTGTTTGTCTTTTGTCTTATTGATCAAAAAGGCAAGAGACAAACAGAGACAAACAGCAAGAAACAGGAAACAAAAAGCACATTGTAGAATTAGCCTTAATGTAAACTAAAATTTTAAACAAGAAACAAATCCGATTCAGCAATGCTTCGCTTAGCGACACAGCGGATATTTCCGAATGGCAAGGTTGATCGATTTTTAAAATTTTAACTTATATTACACACACACACACACACACACAAAATATAAATTATTGTAGTTTAAAGCCAAATGACTAGAGTATTTTTTAAATCAAAATTTCTATTATTTGATAAATAATCATGGTTTTACATATTTAATTTTTCGCCGATATTTGCAGTTCGCCATTTTCTCCCATTTTAACTATGTTATTTTGGCGTCAGCTCCAAAGGGTTAATATGATATAAGGGTTATTATAATAATTTTATTGCAGTATAAAATTATATTTCTACGTTAACTTTATGAATATGTGAAAACGTAAATTAGATTTTTTAACTTTAAATTATCTCTAGGATATTATAATATAAAATCCTATTACAATTTTATATGTTGTATACTTATGTACATACATTAATCTCCAAAATTCTTAATAGTACTTCGGAAATTAATTAAAAATAATCATTTTAATATAAAAATGTCGATACATAGTTAAAAATAATAGTTTTCAAATTACACGCAATTAAATTAATATTACGTAGAGTTCACGCTCTTATATACATGTATTAGCCGAAGTATTATCCTAATATCTGTTATTGATTTTCACTGTTCAGCTAATTGATGTGAACGATTATTGCTTCGATATTATGTACATTAGAGCAATTAACTAATATTATTTTTTAACAGCAAATTTTAACTGTTAAACGTAGATTATTTGGTCTCTTTTTTCTGATTAAGATTCTCAGTCAAATTAATTATTATCTTAACGTTATCTAACGCAACGCTGATGAATGTTGAAAGTGAAGCTTGTAATGCATGATAATAACCTAACCATTAAAATCAGTTTAATTGATACATAAAGTTCAGATTGTATATTTGTCGTAGTATTTTAAAAATACACACCGACGAAAGTAGGACTGGCGCGTGGCCTCGGTAATTGTTTGTACTAATACACCGCGCTGTGTTTATCGCGCGTTAAGCTGGTTCTACATTAGTTGCAAGTTGATCGCAAGTTTTGTTGAACGCAATCTGAAACTTGCATTTTGAAATCAATGCTTCATATTGGCTGTCGCAACAAACTTGCGATCAACTTGCAATTAATGTAGAATCGGCTCTAAGCGTATAAATTGCCGTGTCATTCTGTGCGATTCATCAAGTGCATATAAGATAAAGCCACAAGTCATTCTATGTGGTATCGTTATTCCTAGGGATGTATGCAAAATAAATTCTATGGCAAAAGGCTTTCTTGCTATAAATGATTAGCTATTGTATTATTTATTATCTATCGCGATTTAATTTTTACTATCCATAAACGTATCTGAAAATGTCGATTACTTCAGGTATAAATACGTTCAGGTATATGTAGTTACATAGATAGGAATCACGACGACAAGAGCTATAAAAACTGTTTCATTATAATAATGTACAGACGATAAATATATACAGTGAAAGCAAGAAGTATTCATACAAGAAAATTTTTTATAAAGAAAATTTGTAAGAAATAAATATTAATTAGTCATTTTATACAATAAATATATTCCGTTTTAACATAAACAAACGAGTTTCGCACGTATTCCTGAATTTAGAAGCTAAATTTTTCAACTGTATGAATACTTTTTGAGCATCCAAACAATAGAATTTTTAATTTGCGCTTATTTTTCAGATGATATATTTTCTATAATTAATGCACATCTTTTTGATATATATGATTTTAAGGAACATACAGTCTATATTATTTTTTATGAATAAATTGTTAATTACCCAGCAAGAAATGATTGTCAATTAAACATCGAATCGACGTTGAATTGATGTTGAAATTATCGTATCGATATCGATTCGATGACTTATTTCTCGCTGGATAATATTTTTAAAAATAAAGTTTTTTTAAAAAATATTTTCTTTGTACGAATACTTTTTGCACTCACTGTATATTTTTTTCTTATAGAGATTTAATAATAGAAGTGATTAATTAATAATTACTTATTAAAAGTATTATTGTTCAATCATCGTTGCTTTTAATGCTCAAAATAAGTAATTAATCGTTCTTTCAATATTGAATGGGATTTCTATAATATAAAAGCTTAGATTCGAATTTAACTGGGATTGTTCTTCGAACTTTTAATATTTAAAGTTAATTCGCATGTCATTTTAGGATTGAAAGTATGGAATGTCTTATCGAATTTAATTAATATGTAACAAAAAGCAATGATTATTAAGTATATATTTTTTTTCACGAAGTTCATACATTAATTTATAAAATATGTCACATGCGAGTCGCAGTTTTATATTATATGATTGTACCTTCTTAGTGTTTTTATTTTTTTGTATTATATCGTTGCAATAGAATGATTGCATAAAACATCGTGTAAGGTACTATATTATAATAATTGTATAATAATCACTGTAATTTACAGTGTTATCATGAATGGATAAAAAAAAGAAGGATCTCGCAAGTAAAGAGGAAGTTCGGGAAGGTATCAAGTGACGGCGAAGCAATCATGGGATAAATATTAAGTTGCTATTATATATTACTTGTAACTTGCCAGATTAGTCGTTATTTTCTGTTTATTCTTGTTAATTAACCGATTATTTGGATAGGATTCGCAAATAAGAATTAAAAGAAAAAAAACTTTTATCTATAAAAAAATTATATATTAGGTGTTGGAATTAATTCGTAGCGTTTTACAAGTGATGGGAAGTACTTTCATTAATGTATTTTTTAATGCTCATGTGAAATAAATAACATTCTTTCATTAAAAAACGCTACGAATTAATTCCAACACCTAATATATATATATATATATAAACAGTTGATACTTAAAATAAAAAAAATACATTTTTTCGAAAATTACATAATTACTTTATATTAAATATCCATTTAAAAAAGATGTACAATAAATTCAACGCAAGTAATTATTATTTTTAGTAGTATAATTTTTTTGGAATATTACAGTTTATATTTTATATTTACATTTTACAGATCAATGCAGTTTCAACTTCGCCACTACGACTGGTATGAGTAAGTCAAATAATTTTTTAATTGAAATAATGGATTTATTTTAGAAAAATTTTTAGATATTTATATAGATATGTATATATTAACTTTAGAATATAAAATATTACCAATAAATATGTAGCTCATAGATTCAGTATATACTAACAAATGGATGAGCTAGAATAGATCAATATTATCATTTAATCCTGGAATGCGTGTATATTTATCTGTAGATTTATTGTGTATATCCTTCCCCGGTGCACTTGCACACATATCAGTTCATTATATCGATTCGTAATTCAGCGATGCATTTATTGACACATTCTGTATCTTATGATGCAGAATATTAATTATACACCAGTCGCTTGAAATTTATGGGATAAACTTGCAAGCGTGAATACAAAATAATAGAAAATATTCCATAAATAAAGTTTAGCAAAGGGTAAATAAATGATAATAAAGATATAATAAAATTATTTAAACAGTTTTTTAATATCAAATATATAGTACAAATAATTAATTTTACAAATTTATTGAAGAATAAACGAAAAGGATAAAAAATAAAATATTAGTAAAAAAAATTGAAATAATATAATTTTTAAAAATATAGAAAAATATATTTTTCTCCAATCTTTTTTATATCTGATAGAAATAATAAATTTTTCCTTTATGTATTTACGTAATTGTGTAAATAAAAATAAATTGAAGTAAAAAGAAATTGATATTGACAAAATAAGATACGGAAAAGTTAGTTTTTATTAAATGTGTTGGTTTATTTATCTTCCTAAACATTTGAAAAATAGAATTCTAAAATTCTGTGTTTGACTTTCAGGATTAAATGTTGTATAAACT